CACTAGTTTGCGAAAGAGAAGACAGGAGACATTGGTTTTGGAATAATTTTGGCCACGATAGTGGCAAGTTTAATAATCAATAAACCTATATAATCGTACAAAATACCAAAACCCAAAGAAGCTATGTCTTCGGCAAAGGTGGGGCGAGAATAAACACGCCACACCTAGAATAACTAAATACGATAATACAACAGGTAGGCCGTAGGGGTGGAGGTGGGATAACTTTACAGTGAACTTGCTCGACTGCGAGAATAATAGGAAAGAGGCCTCGTGGTAGTTAGACGCGCCTTAAGTACTGCTACGTAATAACAGTAATCATATCCTATTGGTCGACTTGAGATATGCGGATTCATCTAGTTGGATTACCGGATCTAACAACAGTATAATGTTTCGATACGGGTGTCATTATGCTGTCAGCATGTTCTGTTCTATAGGTTGAGGTGCTGTGTGAAAATTGAGAGGGGTCTCAATTTTTCCAGTCAAAATTTAGGGGGCTTGTTAAGAAACGGGGTCATTTTTTTAAATTGTATATATTGATTATATTCTATATTTTTCAATTGGGAAGGGGCACAAAAAATATTACATTTATAAAGGTGGGGCTTGCAAAAAACGATGTTGCTTTAAAACTCAGCATGCACATCTAGCCCCTTCCCCTCTCCCAAACCCATAACTTCGGGGCGTTGGCATTGGGGGCAATTTTGGGTTTGGCGTTTCGAGGGTTCAAAACAAAATAGCGGCTTTTTGATATTGGATCCCTCTTCGGAAAATCCAGGCTATGCCCCTGGAAATGATAATGAACGGTCCTTTAGTTAGCATTGAAAGAAGCTGCCAATAGTAAGCAACATAATTTCCTCAATCAGCGCCAACTGCCATCAGCCAAATAGCTGTTGTTAATAACGAATGAAAGCAAGAGTCAATCAAACAGGAAAATGCCTTTCAAGACTGAAATGATCAGTAACGAGTTGCGGTTGTGCGGAGGCGAAAGAGCTTCCTCTTTACATTATCGTGTTTATATTCTTTATTTATAGTTCGCGTAGGATTTATATTTAATGAATGGTAAATCGTTTTTAAGCATTTGTTATATCTTTCATCCCTCTTCTCTCCTTCTGACGCTCTCTTCTGCTTTTGTCTCCTCTCTCCACTTTTCTTTCTGTTTTTGCTTTGCAGTGCTCTTTTTTTCTCCTCTGCCTATCTTCTATACTAATTTATTCCTTTCTCTTCTTGTCTCGTTTCTTTTCTTCTGTTCTGTTCTTTCCTTTCCTTTCTTTTCTTCTCCTCTCCTCTCCTCTCCTCTCTTCTCAAAAGACTAAAATATCTTAGCATGTTTTACTGTAAAAATAAATGGTGTTAAGCGATACTAAAACGAAAGAAATCAGAAATATGATTCAGATGGGAATCGAATCCACGACCTTCCCTACTTTCTTTCGCGGCTAAAACAATCCCATCCAATCTTCCATGCATTTCTAGATTACAAGTTAGTCAGGTTATTGTAAATACACCAATGAAAAAACGCAAACAAACTGCCTCAACTTTCTATACATCTTTCTAAGAAACGGTTATTTAATAAGCGCACCTTTCATAACATACATTTTTTCGGAGCTAAGTTGAGTTATCGCGTGAGAAAACCCATCATTTCTTTCACAACTCAAACAAATCATAATAAAGATATATGTACTGAAGAACACTTTCAAGAAGGCTAGGATCTTGACGAAGTACTCGACTATTAATAGCTAGACCCTTTGTATTTCGTGTTTTGTTGGCCAAGTGCGAAATCATAAATCAAAATAATTCTACTATGTCACGTATGTCGCCACTTTGGTCTACGACGGAACACTTGATACATATATCATTGCAATAAAAAAAATTTAGTAATCAGTTTACTTAGTTGAATATCCTTTCCGCACCACAGTACCGAGAACAGTCCTGAAAAGGTACGACCTAGGCCTTTGCATGTTGAACTGACCAGCTAGGTGAGTGACAGGTGGGTATGATATGATCATATACACTCTATCAATCATAAAAGCAGTATTCAGTATTTAAGCTAATAGCCGTAAGGGGATCTCAATTTCAACATTACAAAGGAATCAACTAATAAATGAGATTTCCTTCATCAAATCTCTAGTATATAGTTTCATTATTGCAAAATTTAATGACTTTGTCTTTATTTACTATACATATATTATCTATACATATACATTTTATCTATATGATGTATCTATAAATCCCTTTCACTGAAAATTAACTTGGACTACAAGTTTAAAAGGAAACTACAAAAGTAATCACACTTTATCGTAATGGAAACGGTGCCATTTCTTTCCTAATTTCTTGTTTTATTAGCCTCCCATCCAAGATATTTTTCAAATATTTGTAAGCTTATATACACCCAGTACTTGCAAGAAGGTTGTCACACCAGAATAGAACATTTGTAATAGTAAATTAGTGATTTAGTAAATTTACCGATAAGGAATAAATTATCACTGACGTCAGACTCGAATTCATCAGTAAGAAAAAGATTTTTTTGGACGACATGATGTAACCGGCATGCAGATGAAGATGTAATTTCAAAGTTAAAACGAAAATGAAAAAATATAAGATAAGATCAGTATTTGTTTTTGTACGTTTCTGCTTGTGTAACATTGTGGCTATCATGCAGTAAATAAATAGGTTGACATAATAACAATGCTAAAAGAATTTCCCTTTAGACTGGGAAAACTAATGTAACTAAGACTACGAATTCTAGCGCTGCCTGGCGTTTCTGATGTTAGTAGTTAGTCTGACGTCAGTGATAATTTATTCCTAATCGGTAAATTTACTAAATCACTAATTTACTAAATTACAAATGTTCTATTCTTGTATGACGACCTTTTTGCAAGTAGGTGTAAACAGAAAAAGTTATATTGAAAAGCTGACGAAAACGTGAGTATAAAAATGATATCTGCGGAACTGCTCTTCTGTCGAAGATTATAGCTGCTTTCTTTTCTAACCCGACTAATCTCTGGATAATCCAGAATCGTGGCATTATTTAGCGATCATTCATTTATTGCATAAAACAAAAGCATTTATCGATAAAGCTTCTATACCAAAGGAATCCCATGGACAAGTTTTCTATGTGTCTGTCCTCAGCTTTTTTTTTTTTTTTTTGTCCTCAGCTTATTGACGATAAATTGCGTCATCACATTGCCAAAGTAGTGTAGATCTACGAGGCGTGATGACGAAATTTATCATCAATAAGAGGACAGACACATAAAAAAACTGATGTCTATTTGTTTTTTTTAACGATAAAAGCTTCTCGTTTTTAGTGCTCAAAACAACCAAAGGAAAGAGCGCACGCTCGTTGACCTCAGCTTTATCTCTCTGTCCTCTTATTGATGATAAAAAATAACTAATCGGCGAGCGCGAAATTTGTAAGTTATTGTAAAACACTCATTTATTGTACAATCAATCATTTACTATAATAAGTGTTTACCGCAAGACACGGACAAGAGTTTCCGTACCACAGGAAGCCCAGGCTCGGCTTTTAAGTGGTGCAAGCAAATAAAGAAAAAAAATCGAAGTGTACTCTACACCTTATAGTATATTATCACGCCGTCAAGAGGATATGAGGACCGCCATCTTTATTATATACAAGTTATCGATATTCGTATTATAGTTTGTATTTTCATATATAGTACACGCAATTCAGCTTTTTAGCTGCAAGGTATTATTTCTTAATAAACATATCTATCTATCTTGTTTTCGGTCCGAACTAACATACAAGACAAGTACGAGCACTAGTGTTAAAGTGACAAGGTTCTAAAAATAATTGTCATAGTTGTTTATGGGAAGAGCGCAATGTGGTTGACTAAATTTGGATTTATTTGAAACTCTTTTTAATATTTGTACCATCAGATTGGCCAAAACCTAAAATTTTTTTTCGTACATTATCAATTGGAATATTTCAAACATTGTCATTGTCACTTCCAGTTCCAGTAATGATTAAAATTAAGACTATATACGTAATACAATCAAGTTAGTTCGACCAAGAAATCTAAAAGCTAAGACCGACAAGATTTATGGGTACGCATGGCTACATGTGCATATGTATATCAGTGTTACGGTGCCACTACTAGGCATCTCCATAAGATCAGCTTTCTGAAAATGCCTACAAACAGACACTCCTGTTACTTGTTTTTTTACATGGTAAAACCTGTGACCAGAGACATTGTTCGCCTTGCATTTGGCGACTACGTGATGGCTCAGCCTTATAGAGACTTTTTTTTTTTTGTGGTTTACTTAAAAGTTAACAGGTTAAATATTTGACTTGCAGTAGAGCTGGGTTTTTTTTCTGTGAAGAATTCACTACAACACGCACACACGAGGACATACTGTGAAATATCTGTTTCAAATGCTATTCAGTCAATCATGCCGTGTAGTCATGGTTACGGTAAACAAGTCAGTACATTAAAGCTATAACAAGTTGAAGCTCAAGTTTTTCCCCTTTATTTTGTAAAACCGGCTAACAAGTGTGAGGTTAATTCAACACGGCCAATATAATACTGGTTTTCTATGATTCTATGTTCGCACGCACCACATGGCTTGTGTGATCCTGAAAATGAAACCCACACACGGGATTGGAAATTAATCCGCGCGGTACACGTACATTTTCCTTGAACTTTTCTTGATGATTCTACCATATGATACGGCCCCTATAATGCATGCGTTGATATATATAATGGTATAAGACGACTATGAACACCACTCAGGTGCACACCACACCACAGCACTAACATCAGAATTTAAGCATAAACTGAAGAATTTCAAGTGCCTGCCGAGTTTGGACACTGGCCATATCTTCTCCTACAAGGTTAGATACTAAATTTCACTAAGGAGGTCGTAAGAAGTTTTTTTAAGCTCTAAAACAGACAAGTCCGATTAATTCCGTTTTAATACCACGACTTTTTATTACGAAATGATGCACCATCGCTTGAAGTTCTCTAAGTGGTCATAGCTGGAGGGCGATAAGTACTTTGGTCGCCAGAAAAAAAAATCTTTTCGATATCATTTAAGGATTGTTGTAATTCGACAATTCCTGTCGGGATAAAAGCACTATCAAGAACTTGACTCAGTTAAAACAGGAACTCATGTTTAGAAGTTTTTTGTGGTATCACTGTATGGCGGCACTTTTAAAGGCGATAAAAAGCGGATTGACGATGCACGAGAAGCTTAAAAACTGACTTTAAGAGGAAAGGAAAAAAAGAACCTGCCTTGAATGATAAGGCGTTTGAGGAATCGATGATATCGCGTCGTGATTATTGTCATACCTTGCGTAGCAGCCAGGACTTCAAGGCTTAGCAAAACTGCAAGACATAAAAAAAGGTCGTGACGACTGGCCGTGCTTTTGACCTTGCTGGAAGAAAAATGATATACGACAGATGTTTTTGTTGGTTTCATTTCACTGGGTTTACTAGTTGAGGAACATTTGGTTTCAAGGTGCGATATTTAAGCTCAACTCGAATTTTGAAAGCCCTCGACTAAGCAAAGAAATACGCAGGGGTCGAAACGCTAGCGTTTTAATGAAATATTTTCAATAGAGGTTCGTAAATAGTTTGAAAAACAAGTTAATTGAATGCGCAAATGTGTTTAGTCTTATGTGTATGTAGTTGTTGTTGATGTTATGTTTTCTAATTAACTGGGCAGGAATCTACAAAGCTCAAACCAAGATCGACCAGTTCGGTGGTGTTGAAATACCATGGGTTGTTCGTCGTCCATTGATCGCCATCAAAGACGTGTCAACCCAGACCCTATTGATATCCCACTTTCTAAAGCTCAGAAGTATTTAGTCCGAGAGACGTGGGAGACAGTCGAACTGTATAAGAACAACGTTGGAAAGCAGACTTTTCTCAGGTGGGTTCCTCCAGTTATTCTAAACTAATAAATATTGATAAAAAAGATTCGCCAAGGTCCTTACTTAGGAAACACGGGAAGAGGGGGGGAGGGGTAGTCATTTTTTTAGGCATTTTTTAGCTAATGCCAACTGCATTCTAATATGTCGGGGCCCCAACTAAAGTCATATACATCGTCGTCTATGAGAATTTTCGTACCCCTAACTTGGTTACCATATAGTAAAATTGGTCTCACTACTGAAATTGCGTCGAAAATAGGACGGACCCATTTATTTCTGAGCTTGAAGAGGGCTTTCAACCTGATTTCTTTAGTTGATATTTTGCTATTGTAAAGTTACCAAAGGTAACTTTCCACTGTCTTATAAATGCTACTACTGCCTACTAGATAATTTCAAATGTAAGCCCCCCCTCCCCCTCGCACCTTCGAGATTGCTCAGTTCATTCTTGTAAAGCTTTTCCTACTGATATAATTGATACGTTGATATTAGTTGCGTTGTTTGCATTTTTTTACTCGTGAAATAGCTGTACACTAATAGAGGTTAGAAGATCTTATTTCCGTTGCTTTGGTTTTTCTCTGTTTGAATACTCAGTCCACATTACTCAAGTAAATTTTTTTCACGGGTTAAGTAGAATTAGCTGCTGAATATAATAACATGGAAACTGTTGGGGCCATCATGACGCTGCCTGAGGCAAATTTTCGGAAAACTTCAATCAACAATGCCACGGAACTACAAGAGTGCTAATGGAGGATTTACATTTCGGTGTTTGATTGATTTAATATAACCTTTTTTCATACGCCAGAACCCTTAAGCTTCTTTACTAATACGATTTAAAATGTCTTGGGATCTGTGAACCAGATCGTAGCCGCCACAGCGGGGACTGAGATATGGCTCGATCAGAAATCCCTATTTAGGAAGCCAAAAGAACATTATTGGATTATCACAGTCCTCTAAATTATTTCTAAGTTTATCTACAGGACTAAATGAAGGCAAAAGTCTTTTGTTGCTCATAATACTGTCTCTATTCACAAGTGCATCACTTGTTGTGAGACTATAGTGTCTGAGTTTTATTAAAAGGAATTGTTGTATTATCAAAGTCAAAGGATTCATGAAGGGTCTTTCCGCATTCTACTTGGATAAAAAATATCTATATTTGATAAAGTAATAATGTGATATAACAAAGAAATGCCATCAGAGGGATCTGGAAAACGTCTGAGACAAGTGCTTGAGTACTATTAAGTAGGAATTGTTGTATTATCAAAGTCAAAGGATTCATGAAGGGTCTTTCCGCATTCTACTTAAGGATAAAAATATCTATATTTGATAAAGTAAGAATGTGATATAACAAATGAATGTCCTCAGAGGGATCTGGAAAATACCAGCTGGGCCCAGGCCCTCTCGTTGGCTAGATACAAACTGACGTTTTTAAATAGGATATCGTGAGGAATATCGTGCTGTTAATACCGATCGAGCGCGAGACGGTGCCGTGCCAGAGCACTGGATGAGCTTGAATCTAGCGCGCTCTGATGGGTTACCGTTAAAGTGCCGTGCCGTTTCGTAGCCATTACGGAATATACTTTATGCGTTAGCGACGTATACCTTATACATTTTAAAACACGGAGAAGCCTAAAAAGTGTGCGAAAAATATAGTAGACAAAACTACGCATAAGACATATGGCCGGATACTGGCCCGGGATACTGCCAACGTTTGGGTTAGGGGAGGTCCCTGTATTATATTATAAACATATTTAAACTAACCACAGCTAAGACTGGGATTTATTATGCATGTCTTGCAGATTTTTTGAAAACAACCCAGAGTTCCAGAAGCTGTTTCCCGAATTCAAAGAGCTCAAGTACGAAGAGCTTCAAAAGGCTAATGCGTTACACGGGCACGCTAAACGTGTGATGAAAGCTGTTGAGAATGCTGTGTCGGCGATGGATGATGCCGTCAGCTTTAGTGCGTATCTTGAAGAACTCGGAAGAAGACACGTTGCACGATCGCTTAAGCCATCATATCTTGACGTAAGTTGTTCAAGTTTGAAAGACGTAGAATAGTAAAATAGCGCGCTTCCGTAAGGTTTGATTGAAATAGCCACGCGTCAGCCATTGTTATTACTGCTGGAACAATAGGTTTTTTATTTTCTCTAGGTTTTTCCCTGTAGCATCGCATTCGGGATGAGTTTATAACCCGGACATAAACAAAGGATATTATTCTTATAGCCATAAACATGTGTGCATGCTGCTTGAATTAAAGGTCTATTATTAGACGGGAGGGATGAGATGGCAGTACCCCTCGAAGAGTACTTACAAGAACCTCGGTGTGAGCTCCCCCTGCCACGCGTCAGCCCGTGTGAGGGGTGAGATAGACGCGGGTACCCCTCGGAGAGCACTTCAAGGGGCTTCGGTGAGAATTAAAAAAGTTGATAAAAATCTAGAAACCGCAAAACGATTCTCTTTTGTCTTTACCTTGCCGAAACTCTTATGACTTTTTGTATCATTTAAGACCATTCTTATCCGTTAAAATTAAAATTTCTCTCTCTCACTCTCTCACTCTCTCTCTCTTAATGTCTTAGTGCTTTCTAACCTTTTGATTTTTATCCATTTTTCAAAGGCCATGCAGGCAGCGCTAATGGATAGTTTGAGACAAACGCTTCAAAGTGAATGGACCGATGAGACGGCCATAGCCTGGAACAAGCTCTTTCGGTTTATTGCTGATACTATGATAACTGGTCTTCAAAGTTCTCATACCACCTGACTTTGCTTTCCTGGTCTAGATCTGTAGTGCAGCCGGCTGGCTATCTTGACCCACATTATCAACTAACAAGTTTTTTAAAAAATTTTAAAATATAAGGAAAACTTTTTCTACGTGTATCAAAGAAGTTATCAGTATCTTCTGAAATTGTGCCAAAGATACCGAAGGAATAGACTCATCATGTGCGTCTAAAACAGACTCGATTGAGCAAAGAACGATAGTTGAAAACATAACGAACGGACCACGAAAAAATAGCAGATACGTGATGATCAACCATGATTTAGGATCCCAAATCCCCCAAATGCCCACGACAATTTTAAAAGACCATGTAGTATAATAGATAGGATTAACAAATGCTGTCCATGACCAACAAGCATCCCTTTCTATCGGTATTACATGGACTTCGTGAAATTATTGGGGTGTCAGGTGCGTGTATATAGCCACCATATGTAGGTAGGGAAAAAACCAAGGATTTGGTCTTAATTTCTAAAGAGTTCTATAAATAAAAAGAAAACAGTCCCCGAACACGAAATACAAAGAAATGAGTGACCCGCTTTTATCGTTATTTTTCCCTCCCCTAGTCTTTTCATCACGCTGGTCGATAAACGTATGACCAGCTCTAGAATATTGCTGTGTGACTTCCGAACGCAACAGCGCGACAAATTGCACGTTATTTTGGCGGGAATGGTGACTCAAATTTTAAGGGAGAAGTGCTCTTGAAAAAGATTGTTCCATACTAAAGCGAAATGCAGAGAAAATATTACTCATAAAAAAGTTCAAATATTGATTTCGGGAAGCTAGGAGGTCGCATAAGTTATTGTCAGCGATTAAAGGTCAGCAAAAAGTGCGTTTTCAAGTAACTTAAAACCTTAGAAGGATACCCTAATTTATGCCTTTACGTCTTCAATTAATACCTAGTTCTTTATTATAGTTTATAATCCCGGGTTTATAATTGCATATTAATGTTTTTGCCTGCTGTGGAAGTCACACGGGTCATACAAAACTGATGGGGAAAATGCACGACAGTACGTGCTTAATCAGCTGGCTTGAAATCAGTTCACATGGTCTTGTAGTTAGAATTGTAGAGTGGGATCCCATTCTAGACGTCAGCAAAGGCCTAGATTTTAGCCATTTCTTTCTCTGACATAAAAAAGAGTTACTATATGGCATTAAAATCAGTTCAGCCGAATGGTTTAATTTGTAGTTAGAGCTCTTAGTGTGGATGACAGAGCCATACGCCACAGCAGTTTCGTCTTTGATAGTGAACAAATTGACTTCTATGGCAGAGGTACTGTACTTCATACTCTCTTGGTTCAGATGATTTTGCAGCTTAGTCTAAGAGCTCTTACTATAGTTGACAGAGTCTTACATTAAAGCTATTTTATCTTTGACGTCTAACGTAATTTGTCACTATTGCAAAAAGATTGGGTCATATAATTAGACAATAAAGCCCTACAGCACAGAAATTTTGCATCTGACGTCAAAAAAATTGGTTCAATGTTGCATTAACCTTACCGATTTGACATCTGTGTGCTGGTCTTAGGTGTAGGCAGCTATGATGAATGTAATTGCATCAATTAATATTCGCAAATGTAAATAAAGAACATAAATAACTTGTTTGACAATGAATGCAGTCACCTTGATAGATACTATGTGACTTGTATAGTAACTATAAGTACTGGTATCTACTCCATGAAGAGTTTGGTTTTATTTCTGGGATTTCATTTTTAACACACTGCTCAAGTGGTAAAAACTATATGACCTTTAACACCGCACTATGTCGCCAAAACGTTTTCTACGGGCGCCACCATGACTTTTTCATCAACTGATGATGTATGTGCTGTGATCATGGGAATTAATACCAACGAAATGAATGCTTGTGCACCTTCAAAAAGTAACTTAATCTAGCTAGCAAACTTATCAGCAGTTGATTTTGGGAAGGGCCAAAGTGACCCCACCCCATTATTCTTCATTTGCATGTTATGCCATCACAACCATGTTGGTGTTGGTATTCAAAAACAAAAAAACTGATGATGCATGTGCTGTGATCATGGGAATTAATACCAACGAAATAAATGCTTGTGCACCTTCAAAAAGTAACTTAATCTAGCTAGCA